CTCTGATTATTGGGCCACCCCTCACCTGAACGCTCCAGAGATTTGTGTTGATGTGAACGAGTTCTATAAAAGAATCTCTTGCTGCGTTGTTCATGTGTTAAAGACAAAGCTGGAGAGAGTCTGGACCCAATTCTGCAGACGTCCTCCAGAGGTCATGTCTGAAAGTGTCTATACAGTCCTCAATTAATGAATATTTCAATGTAGAGCACGCTGCTGTCTCACCTGCTGCTGTTCATTATGTTCTCTCCATCATATTCACAGCTTCTCCTCCAGCTGTGTTTCCCTTCTAGTAAAATATTAAATAAAATAATCAAATGACCTTCATCAACCAAGTATTGTTATCAAGCACTGAACATATACACAGAGTCAGAACATACACTGTGAAAAAGAGAGAACAAACGTACCTCTGTGGAATTTCTTTTTTTTCCTGTTACAGAAAGAAACAGATGAAGAACCTCTTACTCGATGACATCATGACTTGATGGRTTCTTATCATCCATGAGAACATTTTCTTTGATCACACACACATCGTACCTGAATGACATGTTTTCCTCTTCCTGTAAACGAAGGCGATGGCAGATAAAACTAAAACAACCAAAACCACTGAAGTGATGATTCCCACTGTGACAATTAAACTGCTAATTTCACATTCAGCATCAGTTGAAGTTGTTCCTGGTCGCTTCAGCTGGAGGGTTAGTGATTCACATCTGGAACGACAGGGGGACATKTTCACAGGACCGTGAGAGACACCACAGATTCACTGCAGGTGTAAGAAACCAGGCACGTCCACGTGTGGTGTGACTCTTCACTTACTGTGTGTGTGCTTGACAAGATGTACGGGTCCCATCAGAAAATGTTCCATCACTGCAGTCAGAGCATTCAGAGTCTGTGAGGGCTGTTCCTGTACAAACACAAACTATACASTTACTATTGTACACGTCATATTAGGATTATAGAGCAAAGTGGTATTTGACATGAGACCTGTCTGATTATTGAGGTTTTTGATCAGCAAACATTTCCTTGTTCAAATTCCCTCCTTTTGATGTGAGATGTGATGAAATGTAGAGCAGCATGTCACTAAACTTACAAACATATTTCTATTAACTAAGGAACATTGACAGAATTTCAAAGATACAGAAACTATTTGACATTAGTTTCTCTCATCACACCTGGATCACTGCAACAGTCTTTTATGACTATATTCATTATTTGTTTTTATATTTTTTGTGTTGCATAAAGAAAAGACAAGGTCAGATGAGATGCACCTTTAATGATCCTCCATGGAGGAAGTTCAGTCGACGCAGCAGCACAGTGAAAGCAGCAGTGCATGGACACAATGTAGTCAGAATAAA